AGATTGCGGGGAGAATCTGCATCCAGCGTATTAAATATTGATGAGTACCTATCTATATTGCCATAACACAGAAGATCTATTGAAGCAAAACTCGTGATATTAATAATTAATATTAGAGGAATTTAAAGCGAGTAAGAGCTGAGGCCAATCTCAAAATACGATATAATTTCTGCGTGCAAACGGGCTAAATTAAATATACGCGTTATATGTCATAATGTGCGCAGTGTTCAGACACTGGATAGTGATGCTCCCATATGTATCAACCCCAAAGTCTCTGTTAACACAGATTTTATATATTACAGTGATAGTTTCATCCTCCCTTTTCACCTTATTTCGCACTTGATTTTTAAAAGTACATTTGAAGTGTATTTACTAATAGAAATATTGATCGATAGTAAACAATGCAGAAGATCGAAAAACTTTGCAGTGTACATTCTAATTAAAGTGTGAAAACGTGTCAAGGGAAGAGACAATTCCTTAAAGCACTAGTTCCTGGCTTTAGACGGAGTTTTAATAATATTGTTAAGAGGCTACAATAAAAACGTTATATTAATACAGGGTTGATCGATTGTGTTCGACGATCGTTTAACGTTATTTCCTAATTTATCTTACGGGGGTTTAACACAGAGTGAAAGTGTTTTTCATCAGTTCTAGTTCTGGACCAATTTAACTAAATACTATATAGTTAGGTGTGTGTACATTTATGAATTGTTATTAAAGTTAGAGACTTTGTTTTTCTTTATTTGTTTAAAATGTTTTAGATTTTATTCGCACGAGTGCCTTAAGATACACCTAACAGTATTCGTTGTATCGTGTTATATTTTTTATATAAAAGTATATATATATAAAATATATATATATATGAAAATTCATATATATATCTATACATAAAATAAGTAAATTTATATATATTTGTAGATTCTTGATCTACGGAGCATATTTATACACGTGTACATAATTTTGCCTTAGTTATCGGAGCATATACATTATCAACTATATAATTTTTAAATATATATTGAGATTGAGATGAAATATTTTATAAATCACTAATCTGATAGAAAAATCAGAATTTTTTACAGGGAACGTATACAAAATGTGTTGTGCTAAAGTTTATTGTTGCTATTGAAACACACGAGATACATATTACCGTCTCAGATACACATGATATACCAAGTAAGACATGTCCAAAAACCAAAATTTTTAGCTTTATCATACTGTCTCGTATTACATGATATAAAAGTTAATAATTTTTTGCATAATTACACCACAGTACAATAATTTGATGCCACATTAATTGTTTTGTTGCACTGATGAAAACGCATGATCACTATAGATAAAATGATTATACTGTTACAGTAATATACAGAAAATTGTATAATATAAATTATTAGTGGCGACGAGAGATTGTTAATTTTTAAATCTGCGAACGCGTAATGATAAAGATTCTTATCTAAAAGATTCATATATAAGATGCATGTACAATGCATGCATATGCACTTCAAATGATATCAAGTGAACTTAAAAACATTGATAGATTAATATAAAGAAAGTATAAAAAGTCCTATATAGATACAATAATTATAAAAATATGAAATCTGATGTAATAAGATGTTGCGGAATACTTTTGATTTTTTATGTATAAGACAGTTGTGAATATCTTTGATAATTAATTCTCGATGAATATTGTTATTATTTGTTGTACAGAATTCATTCAACAACTTTTAGAATAATCGGTTTTCGAATATATTCGTAGTACAAAACGTCAAATACGGTAAAAACGTATATTAATGTTACATTGCAGTAATCAAATCTATATAAATATTTTTAGATTTAAAAAAATAGAATAAAAATTTTATAAAGTGTTAATTACTCATAATGATATATATATATATATAGATATTACATAAATATATACAATAATATATACAAGTTCTGCTGTGTTATGATTTAACTAAAATCTAAATCATAAAACTGCTGCTGTGTTTAGTTTGTATACTATTAATTATATTGGAAAAATATATACATATATATATACAAAAAGTTACATCCTTGAACTATATATGTACAGATATCAATATTGTACATTAAATCCGTACATTGATACGATGCAGCATGGTATTCCACTTAAGGGAAATTGACAAATTGAAGAACTCTTTTAAATGTCTCATTCATTAAGTTACTTGTAATGTTTTACGCCTCAGCGTTTACCGAGAAAGAAAGTACCATGATAATGTACTGTACACGGACATTACTGATCGTCTACTGGAATTTCCGATTTGCGCATAATTATACGAAAAATGCGTTACTACAAGCGAAAATGAATTCCTGTATGAACTTAACAAATGGGAAACGTTGGTCGTTCATCTGAAGACCGACTAAATTTACGCCGCACGTTAAGAACTTTACCGAATTTTGACGTTTTAAAGAACCGAATGACGGTAGTAGATCGGATTTCTGACTTCCACTAATGTAAATCTGTGTAAGCTCATGCAGGAGTGTTTCCGAATAACGATAAATCTTCGTTAGCTAATTTGTGTAATATATCTTAATATATTGACAGTACAGAGGGACCGTGAATCATTTGTACTGGATTATTTACCGAAGCGTATGTATCTGTTTATTACATATTTATTGCCTTGCATTATTTATAAATATATGCATAGCACTCCGACGAATTAATTTTTTCAGACACGTTTGCTCTTAAATTTTGAAATTTATATATATATAATAAATTATTAAGAAATTACATCCAAAAACCAAAATTAAATTGTAAATATCGAATAGCTTCTTTCGTCTTTTGAATCTTAAGTATAAACGTATCGCGTGTTACATACAGTATCTTAATTTACTCTTGTATTTTTTTAAAGTAAAAATTGCATTTGTTTCTAATATAGAAATTAAACGAGATTGATACGTGTTCTTTACAAATATGTGTGTGCGCATCTAACATTAATTTTTCAATCTCTACTGTGCAAAATGAAATTCTCTTTATCTAAGAAATCTAAAGAAATCCTTTGAATAAAATCATAGTTATACGTGGTATATTTCTCATTCACGACGTGACTTCTAATGTTATCTAATGTCAAAAGTTAATTCACACTTTGGAAAAGGATTTATATTATACGACAATCGCGCAGCATATCTCATTGCAACTCGTGGTTTTGGGATAACAATTAAGCGACATAATTCATGATACGTTTTCGATTGTAATATCGATTTTTCATGTAGGAAATAATTATTATGATTTATTTACAAATTTTGTGAGTGCAGAATATCGCTTTGCGTATCGTGTGAAAACTCGTACTTTTTTGCGATTTAATTGGAAAAGATGCATGATATCCAATAAGATTTTACAAAAATCATTCGCTGTCTGAGAATATGTCAACGGAATTGCGAGAATTAACAAATACGTGATCATTCCACGAATTTACGGTAGCGAAATCTGTAAACATAGGGATATGATAAATTTTATGATGTTAATTTCTGTTATTATATTTACATGTACTTAGGCTATGAGAGTGTATAAAGAGTTCAAGTTATTATAGTCAAATGAAAATAAAGAGTGAAGTGTATATGAAGAAATAGACGTTGTTTTTTATTGCGTGAATAATCGATCGATTCAGTGAATCTAAAATCTGAAACAAGAGAAAAATGTTAGTAATATATCTTGTATTTTATTCGCATGAAATTTTTATGTTTATCTCGTTTTTTCTTAAAAAATTAGATAAAAGCGGAACAAAAAATCGGAATGTCCCTCGAAATGTATTCTCGAAAAATTGTTAAGTCCTTTTTTACTTTTTAAATCAAAATTTATATTATTTTTTTTAAAAGATTTTTCGATACTTTTTTAAACAATATTAGTCAATTCTTATGTTAAGATTGCTTAAGGGGTAACGCTACCCTCGAGGCTCTAAAATGATACCTAAGTTTGGGAATTTATTGTGGATAAATAAATAACTTTATTTAAAAATTACTTAGAAGACTTTACTGTACATTTGATTGATCACGGCGTGAGAACACTAACCAACCACACAGTACAATTCACACAGACGATGGTACTGCGCATGCGCATCGCGAACATTTGGGACTCTATACCTTTCTCTCTCGCACAGACGTTGGTTTCACGTTCAGCGCCCTATTCCCCTTCCAGTAGTATATGTTCTAAGGTACGTATCAAGCAGAAACATGGGGTCTGTTCGTTTTGGCGCTGAACTTTTGCACCAGTTCATTTTTCTTCCTTTTCTATCCGGGAGGAAAGAAGAGAAAGAAAGATGAACTGGTGCAAAAGTTCAGCCAAAAAGAACAGTAGGCCTATGGTCTGTTTTCTGTTCTTGCACTGGACTGTTCTAGAACTCTCTTTCTCGCTTTAAACAAATATCAAACGTATATTTACCTCAGTTTAAGTTCCAAAAAGTGTACACTAGTTCAGCCACAAAAAACAGACCTGTAGAAAATGGACTGCGCGATCCGTGTGTCAAGATGGTCGATAGGGATGAGAGAGAGGGACCAAGGCAGACGGCCATTTCTATCTCTTTCCATTCAATGGTGTAATGGGCGAGAGAGTGAGAGGGGAATTGGCCGTCTCCCACGGACCTCTCTCTCATTATTGTCGACCACATTTGGTACATTACTTAGGGTTTGTCGCGTCGCATGCTCCAATATGTTCCAATATGCAGGCCCGTCTACAATACACGGAGTAAGAAGTAAGAGTAAGAAATTGACCAATCACAGTCGAATGTGAGAATAATCGACTGTGATTGGTCAATTCCTTACTCTTACTTCTTACTCCGTGTATTGTAGACGACGCCTGCTCCTACCATAGCTCCTACTCACTCTATCAAGCGCGTTGGAGTAAGTAGGAGCTATGGTAGGAACATGTTGGAACATGCGACGCGAACAAACCTTTAGATACGGATCGCGCAGTCTATTCTCTGTAGGTCTGTTCTTTTTGGCTGAACTTTTGCACCAGTTCATCTTTCTTCCTTTTCTCTCCAGGAAGAAAGAAGAGGAAGAAAGATGAACTGGTGCACAAGTTCAGCCAAAAAGAACAGGCCTTATGTCTTTGTCGTCAGCGGACAGCGACTTGTTAGTGGTAGAGAGATACGCATTAATTGGCGATCTGGTTGTCTGGAAATCGCCATTTGCATGGTACTGTGACTATGCTTGAGTCGGAAAATTAATCAAGGGAAAGCCAGAAGAATAATCGTCAGTCCTCCTATTGATTGTTTGGAGGCGTGAGCCATAAAAGAAGAAGAAGAAGAAGAAGAAGAATCGTCATTAATGTCTGTTGAATTGAGTTAGTAACCAGTAGGGAAGAATTTAACTGAGTTGAAAATCGGACATCCAGTAGGCAGAAGAAGAAAAGATTGTGTTGAAGCGTTTCGCTGTGACACGGTGAGTAAAAAATTTAATGTAAAGAAAAAGAAAGAAGGTTCTTTACTGTGTATCAAACAATACCTCGACGACGCATTTCTTTTATTTTAAATAGATTAGAGGTCAATTCTTTTTCCATATCCCAAGGTATGTGTTAAAAAATTATTCGGAATGCATTTTCGATCGGAATTATTCAATTATTCTCTAGACTTCTATTATATTTTCTTGGGAGAACGAAATAATTCTAATCGGAATACATTCCGACTCGTTCCATATAACGGATGAATGTTCCGGGGCTGAACTTTTTGCACAGTTCATCTTTTGTCATTTTTTCTCTTCAGTGTGAAAAAAATAAACCCTACAAGAAGGCCAAGCCTGGAATATAAAAAAAGAATAGACCTTGATTTTTATTCCTACACTAAACCTTTTTTTCTCACTTTCACCAAATACCTTACTTTAATTTCCAAAAGTTTATACTAGTTTTACAATAAAAAATAGGTCTATGTGAAAGTGAATATAAGAATGCATTCGGGGAGTGTGTTTTCTCTATTGCATCATCCTTGTTTTACATCTAATTAATAACAGAGAAGATAGAATAACAATGCTGATAGCATGTTCCTCGAACAGTCCAATAATAAGTATGATGTAATTGCAATAAAACATTGTAAGAACTTGTATGGTTCATGATTAGGGAACTAAATGTATTGAAATTCCTTAGGCAAACACATTCATACAAGCTGCAATATGTGATGATTTACTGATTAAGAGGACAAAATTAGATATTGTTTGAATATATAATTATTTAGTTGAGATTATTTAACTTTCACTGGCATGTGGGACTTTAAAAGTACAGTTGATTTTTTGATTGTGGATTCTGATAGCTGAATTTAAATCTGTAAAAAATAAATAAAGTGAAATCTAACTTCTATTATAGTAAAAACTCATTAAAGTGTTCACAAGTATGTAGGAATTTTTTCGAATTTTTATACAAATTTAGAATAATATGAAAATCTACACTGAAGTTCGAAGATGAGATTGCAAACAAAAGGTGAAATTTTCATCTTGCTGACGAAGGTTAAGAAACTAATTTTGTTATGTATATTGTACTTGCCTCATTTCTCATACACATTGTAATTTTACTTGACAATAGGTAGCTTAACTTAGCTTGTTATTAGCAATGTAAAAATAAGGATATATGTTCTTGTTTGACCACGAAATGTTCGTGAAATTTTGTTTGAAAAAGGGATCAATTTATTTTCTGACCTATATCGAATGCTTTAATTATTTCATTAAAAACTTGATATTGAAATAGATAATTTTATAATTACTATACTGTTCCAAATCTCTAAGAATAAAAGACTTTGAGAATTCTGCCGTTTTACCTTCAAAATTGTCAATAACACAGCTTTTTTTCAAATGCTTTGTTTCATATTTCTTCTAGAATCTCTTATATTTAGCAATAAATTTTATTGTACTGATAATGACGAAAAAAATACAATGGCTTTTTAATAATTTTGATATAATTTATAGAATTAGATTCTAAAAATGGCAGACGCGGACCTCATAGTTTCTTGCCCCTACAATCCATCGCATCGTATTCGCAGATATAAACTTATGAATCATATATCGAAATGCAAGAAACATAATAAAAAGGAAAACATGGTAGAGTGTCCGTTGGACAAGACTCATATTATAGACAAGGAACATCTCAGGGTATGTATATTCAAATTTATTATAATATGTTTCAAAGTTGCATATCTTGAAAGATCTTTCTGTTCTTCCTGTTATTAACATCAATTTTATTAATCTTGTAGGAGCACATTGAAATGTGTTCTAGTATTGGAAGAGCGGCAGATATGGATATTGGAAATATTGAAGTAAGAGATCCAGATCCTCCTGTAGCTAGTGGTAGCTTGTTTTTAAATGAAAATTGGGCAGAGGTGTGGAACATAAGTAACAATTAGCTAATGTAAACTGATACTGATTTACATTACATAACGTATATTTTGTTTGACAGGACCCAGAAGTTCCGTGTTACAATCCGATGGAAGTTTCGGCTAAAAAGCCGGTGCTTCGATCTGTCTCTGGATTGTCAAAATCAGAGAAAAGGAAATTTAGGGACAATGAACGAACGCGTATAGCAAATCTCAAAGGGCATCATTCTGTTGGTGCAGTCTTAGAGTCTATGAACACGGTAAAGTATATTTCATGCAAACTTAATATAACAATTTTTGAATATATGTATTTAATTCTTTAACTATAATTTTGAAAATTACACTTAAGTTTTAAAGTGTCCTGTTTGAAGCGCACAGAATGCAAGTAAATCTTTACAGCGACTGATAGAGGAAGTTCAAGTTTTTTATACCTACAATTTAGAAAGAAAAAAATTTTGTTTCAAGTCCAAATAACCTATTTCTGTAGTTGAGGATTAAATAAATAACATTGTGATCACACTATATTGATATAATTATATAAGTATCCTTTCTGTTGCAATTTCAGACTCGTGAGGCACCATTATATCCAGTACGTCCTCCTCGTTCTTATGCTACTGTAGCATCAGAAGATACTGCAGCGTCGCAAGCTACTGCAAAGGCACAAGCTACTGCAGTGTCCACAGGCACTTTACAAAAAGACTTTGATAAAATGAAAATACATGAAGATGAAAAACACGATCACGATGATGATCATACTGTAGGTGCTCGTGCTAACTTTGTTCCTAACTTTCGTAATGATTCATTCCACAGAATGTTATATGATGAATTAGCTCCAGAAAATGACGAGATTGAGCAATTAGAACAGTCTCTACGTAACACTGACACGGTAATATATTACATTTTTACATAAACATTTGATTAAACTTGATTGTAAATAAGTGATATAAGTGTATCCTTTTTCAATCTTTTAATTACTTATTTTCAGGCAATTTCCTTAAAAGATTATTTCCAACAAGTTAACAGAGAAAATGAAAGCTCTTCAATTTCTAATCGAAATCAAAAAGAGAAAACAACAGAAGTAAGAGGTAAAAAAACTGAAATGAATGCAACTTCGGAACTGCTCAATGTTGATATGAAGAAAGCAAGAGACGAACACATTGCAAACACTTCGAGTGTGTATAATGAACAAGTTACCGATACACTTCTAGCTTTATTGAAAGATGAATCAAGAGCCAAGAAACAGTCTATGAATGACACTGTGAAGACTGATCAAATCGCTAAAAATTTTGATGAAAAAGGACCAGTACTGGACGAGATATTCAATCAATTCACTGAACGATTAGCTTATTTAAACGATATTCAGAGTACTGCTGCTGTGGAGAGCGCACGAGTGAGTCAACAACTGAAAGATCTGAAAGAACTTCGTGATCAGATGGCTTTGAGAAAGTAATTATTTCTCACATTGATGACAATTGATTGATAACAATTATATATTGTCTGGAGCAACATAATAACATTTTTTTTAAATCGTCACTACACGTTTCGTGTAATCTTTATTATGAGGTATAAACACCACTACAGTACAATTACTAAAAGATGTGAACTCGTTAATTACTGACAAATATCTATTTTCTCGTGTATACATGTATGTACAAATAAGAAAGGCCTATATATGTTCCAAAAAAAGAGCTTATGCCAGGATGTGTTCGGTAACAGACAGGAAAAAAATAGAAAGAGTTATTTTAAATAGTATATAAAATAAGTCAATAAATTTGCAGTACGTTCTATTTATGAATGTTCAAGTATCACTTTAAACATTCATAATGACAAAATTTTGATGGAGACCTCTTTTAATTACATGTCTGTTTATGCGTACTTCAGACACTTGCGTAAATATTTAGACATTTACAATTAAATCAAACTTTAAAATGACGGTATTCTTTTGATTTCTATTTTATTTTATCATCTAAAATTATTTCTTAAGTTTTTTCCTCATCTGTTGCCCAAAACATTCTGTATATAATAGAAAACAGATTAACAGATGTGTATAGATGTTGATATAAATCTGTATATCGGTGTTTGTATGAAGGGTTGCGTTTGGACGCTTATGCGCTTTAAGCACTTGTAATCATTATTTTATCGTTCATTAGACGTAAAATAAGGATAGAAGTACTGAAAAGCGCTGAAAACATCTAAATCGATCGCAGCCAAGATGTTATAAATTGCTTCTCTATACCTCAGATAAGTTTATATTATAAACTTCATGTATTGGGTCTAATAAAAAAATAAACTTTAATGGTACATGTTAATGAAGAGTATTATTATGTACAAATAAAAAATATTTAAACTATCCTCTTTACATCTTGAAGCCTTCGTTCATTCTCAAGTTGTAAAATATGAGAAAAACGAATAGTGAAGAAAACAAGATAAAATTGTATGTTCGAAAAATAAATGATCGCATTGTTTATTTTGTATTACCGCGGTATTTATATCGATTTTAAGATTACCGTAGCGATACTTGTCGATTTTTCATGGCGACTTTCGAGTAATCGAAAACTACCAACTGTAGCGATTAACCTGCTAATCATTCTTCGAGTCGAAGTGTCAGATTCAGGATTGTCGGGCACTGTTGAACTTGTGAGCGGCATTTTCTTGATACGACTGATAGATATTTTAATAACATAAAACTACTTTCAAAATGGTAAGTTGACGAGTCTCATTGCAGCTCAATATTACATTTATTCAGTTCTGAAGTCAGCTCTTCAAAATACTTTGGATACTGTTGTTGCTTATAGGTTATGCTGGAAATGCATTGTCATCAAGACTAACATTTATCATAATTTTAAAATATAAACGGATCATAAGTGTAATTATTGCTAATATGGCACATATTTAATGCATAGAATGTTGAAATCACGTCAATCTATCTGATTTAAAGTTCTGACACTTTTAGCAAAATATAAAAGAATGTACCTACACATTAGAGACTTTCTTTTACTTAAGTGAATCTTTTGATGAATATAATTGTTTTATTTTACTCATATTTGCTCGCTTATATTTGGGATAAAATAAAAATTTAAACTTGAATAGAAATTTTGATAAAAATTGTAAAATTTTGAATTGTTCATCGTAATTGATTCAATATTTTTTAGCTATGTTATATATTTTACTTATTTATTTTTAGGCACGTAGATATGATACACGTACCACAATTTTCTCGCCAGAAGGAAGACTGTACCAAGTCGAATATGCTATGGAGGCTATAAGCCATGCCGGCACTTGCCTGGGTATATTAGCAAACGACGGTATTCTACTGGCAGCTGAGAAACGTAACACCAACAAGTTGCTGGACGAGGTATTCTTCTCCGAAAAAATCTACAAGTTAAACAACGATATAGTTTGTTCAGTGGCTGGTATAACTTCGGACGCAAATGTCCTGACAAACGAGTTGCGCCTTATCGCGCAGAGATACCTTCTTCAGTATGGCGAAGCTATACCTTGCGAGCAGCTTGTCTCGTGGTTATGCGATGTTAAACAGGCATATACTCAATATGGTGGAAAGAGACCCTTTGGTGTATCTATCTTATACATGGGATGGGACAAATACTACGGCTATCAGTTGTATCAGTCAGATCCTAGTGGAAACTATGGTGGCTGGAAAGCAACGTGTATCGGGAATAATTCAGCAGCAGCTGTGTCGTCTTTGAAGCAGGAATATAAAGAGGGCGAGACAACTCTGAAAGACGCAATGGCACTTGCTATCAAAGTACTCTCTAAAACGTTAGACATGAATAAACTCACTGCTGAAAAGGGTACATTTTTATTTGAATATAAATTAGAGTAATTGATTTTAATCTCTATTTCTATGAATGTAGATTAATTTCAGTCTTGATTTAATTTACTCTTTTTCTAATTCTTAAAAAAGATAGAAAATAAGTTGAACAAGATTAAAGTTAATCTTCATTCATAAAAGTGGACATAAGTTGATGAGATTGTAAACACTTTTTTAATGAATTTAATTGGACGCATATAGTGAAATATAAATATTTGGAATTGTAAAATATACTTTATCTAATGATAGAATAAAATGTATTGATTGCAGATTTAACCTACATTTCTACATTTTTATTATATACACTTTTATATCAATCTGTGTTGACATAAAAATGTATACAATATAGTTTTAATATCAGTGCGTCTAATCAAATTCGTTATTAGACACATTTTGTGATAGTTTGTAACAAAGTTATTGACGTACATTCACTTCTTTTACTCACAGTGGAAATGGCGATACTGACGCGCGAAGATGGTAAAACAAAAACGAAAATACTGCCAGCGAAAGAAGTGAACGCCTTAATCGCGGAACATGATCGATTAGAAGCACTGGCGGAGCAGGCGAAGAAAGAAAAGCAGAAATCGTAGAAATTTATATTAAATAAGAAGAAGATTAATCCACTGTGGTGACAAAGTTTACTGTATCAGGAAGAAATTGATATACATACAACTCAAGTGTTTATATATGTACTATAAATTATTTCTTTGTCGCAGGAGTGAATCCTTACAACAACATTATCATCTTGATTACAAAACAACGGTTATGATAGGATTAAAAGTTTTTCCATAAATATGTATCACATGTTATGCTTCTCCTCCTTGCAATTTCCCATGTTCTCATCTCATTAGCATAATTGATGTGATTTTGAATAATTATAATTGCCCAAGGTTTATTTTAGATTAATTATAGGTCTATAATTTGTGTTAGAATTTGGGATAGAATTTGATTCAATTTTACTTATAATGTTAATACACACAAAAATAATTGAAGACCCATAAATGCATACACATTAATTAAAAAACACGTCGAAATATAGCACTAGTTGATTTTTGAATTAATATACAACAAATTAAAAATGTTTGAAGACTCATAAATACATAAGTATTAAAAGACGCGTCAAAATATAGGCATGTAAGTTTACGAATAGAATTCTATCCTGAAATGTGAATTATAGATTATGTAAAATTAATTTAATTTTTAATAATAATTTCTATTTTAATACAAATTAATATCTATATAGTACACTAGTTGGTTTTTTAATTAATATATAACAAAAATATTAAAATATATTCAGTAAACACAAGATCTGAGATGTTAACTCCTCTCTCTCCTTAGAATATTAAGGGTCTGTTTTCTGTGGCTGAACTAGTGTATACATTTGAAATTTAAAATGAGATAGGTATACGTTTGATACTTGATGAAAGCAAGAAAGAGAGAGTTCTAGTACAGCCCAGTACAAGAATAAAAAACAAACCTAAAATTTTAACTTTTTCTATCCTTTTTAATTTTTAATTTTTTAATGAAGACATGCAATAATAAATCAATATAATTTCCGAAGATTAAAAATGGACAATATTTTAAGAAAAGGAGCACCAATTCGAACTTTGCCTTTAAATTCTCCATGAACATCGGAATGTTATTACGTGTATTAAAAAAATACATCAAAAAGCATACTGAAAAAATCAGATTTTTGGTGAAAGTTTATGAGGAGGCTTTGGGGATTGTTGGAAAATTGAAAAAAAAAGTGCAAAAGTTATGTGTCGGATCATATCAACCAGGCTGTCAATGCGGTCCCACTCCCGGGCGCGATCCCACTACTGCCCGCCACGGAGACTTTTGGCTGCTGGGTTTCCCCTCTGGCCCGGTTCGCCTCTCCTTAGCTAACCTGGCCACCCCGGACTCCTCCAGGGTGTCCATATTGATGGCGAGCTTAGTGCGGACACCCAGTCAACGTGAGCCCCGCACCAGCAGGTACCCCCGACCTCAGACCCTCCGACATAACCAGCCTCCGAGTAGCCGGATTACAGGAGCCGCCACACTCCCAGCTGAAAGAGTACTTGCGACTTGTCCTTATAAGCTACTGGAGATCGATCAGTTTCACCTAAAACTCATCCATAAATATCGTTTTTATAGTCGTAAAAAATGTAAATTAAATATTTCTCGAGTATGAATTAAATATTTTGCAATTTTGGGCTCTAATTTCTCATACAATCAGATATATAAAAAATATATAAAATTAATATACGTTAAATGGAAGTGACTGACAACAGCGCCATTTAGGGTGTTATTGTGTTTGAAGTCGCTCGTTTGATAACTTGATAAGTTCGATAAGATATTGTCGGTAATAGAGATCCTCAAATAATGCAATATAAAATTATATTATTTTAATCTCGGTTTTTATTCTTTATACCTTTTTAATTTCTATTAATGTAGGTTAAGTTTTATTTATCTCCTTATAATTATTAATCCTTTTCTTAAATTCTTAGAATTTCTTAGAAATTCTTAGAAAAAGAAAATAAATTAATCTATATATTAGTAGAAACGGGCATAATTATTAATTATATAAATTAGAAAAAGATAAACAAAATTGTACTTTAGAGTTTATATATTTTAGCGAAGATATAAACCACTTTTGGCTATTATTTACCATGCATTGGTAAACCTAACTCAGGTGCAGTCGATAATCAAATGTCAGAAGATAACCAAGAGTTCCGACATTACCAACCGTCTCGGTCATTCTTTCGGCGGTGTGGGATGTGGGAATTGGGATACACGATACACGCCAAGCGAGGTTAGATCGGGGCGGAGGTGTAAACCGACACGAATCATGTTGATTTATTTGTAACAGGTGACGACGAAGGGATTCGACAGAAACGTAACATGACAGAGGCACGCAATTCGTATTGTTGACGATAGTAAAAATACTCGCTCGCGGACGACGATCTTCTCGCAATGGCCGATAATAACCTGCCGAAGGTTTTTGCAGCTGAGGACTTTAACCCAGAGAAATGTGAGTTATTGAGTACGCATACCGTGTTCGAGAATATGAAGAATTGACGATTTAAAAAAATATCATTATGTGATCGATCGTATTTTGTTTTCAATTTATAATATTTGATAAGATATTTATGTTCCACACTGTACTGTGCCTCTCTTTTTAGTTCGATATAAATTGTTAATTTATTAATTACGTGAAATTGGAGACGAATATAAAAATATACAAAATATGTAGATACATATGAAAATATATTTTTAAAGTCAATCGTATATTTTATCGATCTCTGATACTTGACGAGATGTTCAGGATCTGTACTGTATCCTTTCGCTTTTTTTTAATCCGACAAATAGTTAATTTACTAATTAATTATATATAAAATTGAAAATAAATATAAAAATATATTTAAAAATTTGTATGGGATCGTATTTTATCAATCTCTGATACTTGATGAGATATTCAGAATTATGCTATATTCTCTCTCTCTCTCTCTCTCTCTCTCTCTCTCTCTCTCTCTCTCTCTCTTAAGTTCAACATAAGTAGTAATTTATTAATTAATTACATATAAAATTAGAAAATAATAAGGAAGTACATAAAAACAGTAAGTTTAGTATTCATCTGTTATATTATTCTTGAGGCTTTCACGGGTGTTTCCTATATGACAATCTTGAACACGGAGAAAACCCGCGAAACACAAGATTGTCATTCATCTGTTATAGCTAATTTTGTTCTTACAGTTGTGAAGGAGCTGAGTGCACAATGTATTGGTGCAGACGAATTGAGGCAGCAGCGCGCAAAAATCCAGGAACTGGCAAACAATACATCTGCTCAATTGAAACGGAATGTCTATCAGAACTATATGCAGTTTATCGAGACTGCCAAAGAGATCTCGCATTTGGAGAGCGAGATGTATCAGTTATCTCAGCTTCTGAGCGAACAGCGTGCTTTGTTGAGTACTCTAGGTTCTACCAGAACAACCGGCGTCGTTTTCGAGGATTTGTCCGAGTCACAGCAGGAGAATTCGGCTGACTCTATGTCCAAAGAGGAAGAGCAAAAACAAAAACTCATTCAATTGATTGAAAATGTGGAAGGCGCCTTGGTTGGTATTTAATGAGTGAAATATATAAGGAGCTATAAGGAATGGTTCTTTTCAGCAGAATTTCTTGGTTCATCATTTCTCTTTTTCTCTTCGTGTTGGAAAAAAAAGAGAGAAGATTAACAGTACAAAAAGTTCAGCTAAAAAGATGTAGATTTATTAGATTTAGTTGATGCTTTACTCCTTTTTTCCTATTTCTCTTTTTGCAGAGTCTAGCCGAGACTCCAGGACGTGTGTGTTTACACGAAGGTTCCCTGCTCGAGTTAGATCCGATCGACGGTACGCCGTTAAAAAGAATTCACGCATATTTATTCAACGATGTTCTAATGGTTGCGTCCTGGCTGGCGAACGGTGGCAGACGCGGCCCGCCTAGGTACAAAATGCAAGCAGTTTATAATCTAGAAAGCCTGGCGATCGTTAACGTGAGGGATCACGGCACTGTGAAGCTGGCGTTCAAGTTGCTGGCATTCTCCGATACGAGGGTGTTTCAGTGTGCCACAGCGACAAGTAAAGTTAGTGTTTCAAAACAACGACCGCGAATCACGAAGGGATATTATTTGAACCTACTTACTTTGTAGAAAGAGTGGTTAGATAAATGCGAGCAAGCGAAAAGAGCAAAGCTGGCGGAAGAGAATTCAGTCAACGCACCGGAAAACGATAAGCATCCGAAGGAGGACAAAGCGGTGCCGTCTCGTTCGATGTCTTTGGAGTCGAATACGTTAGGTAAAATTTGCAAATAGAAATGGTTTTGCATTTCATAAGTATTTTTCGTTACTCATATACTATATATCCTATTTTTATTCATTTTATATTCGTTTCTATCAATGTAAATTAACTTGAATCTTGATTCAACTTACTCTTCATCTTGTTCTAATTCTAAGAATTAAAAAAAGATGAGTCAAGTTGAACTGAGATTAGAGTTAATCTGTGTTGGAAGAAACAGACATTAATTCTTTTTGTTGGGTTTTTTTCGTCAGGTACTTTTACAGTCGTTTAAATTGTTCTTAGGAATGGAAGACGACGATGACTCGGAGTACTACGAACCACTGCCGGAATGGGTGCTGGAAGTAGCCGAGGATCTAGATTCCTGCATAGCACAACGTCACTTCGAGGAGGCTTACGTCTTATTAGAGAAGGCAAAGACTTATTTGAAGGACGCTCAATCGACACCACTATTGACGGAGATTCAGACGAAGGTGAATGAGAGAGGCTGCTCGCTGGTGAATGTATTGACTAAGGAATTAGAGTTAAGCGCGGAAGCGAAGTCGCTACAGGGCGGCGGTCTGAGAAGCGCTCGACGTGCGGTAAAACTCCTTATACAGCTAAACAGAAGCGCACAAGCGTGTCACTTGTATCTGCGATTATGCAGCGCAGTACTGAAGGCGCGACTGGAGAGGATCAAAGAAGAGGGCACGATCGTGGCCTATGTGAAACAAATTAGTGCGATCGCCTTCAGCAATATAGTTGAGATAGCGAGAGAATTTCTGAAAACCTTTCCTAAATCTACAAATTGCACTTCTGGTAATTTAGCATCAAGATCCGCAAACGTTCCACAATCGAATAATGAATTAATTTTATTTACTTGTCGTTTAAGGCTTAGTTGTATGGTGCAGTCAGGAAGTGAAGCATTTAACGTCGCACTTATCTCAACAGCTGTTTGTGCCAAAGGTCACACTAAGCACATTGGTAGAATGTATTGTCACTGTTCGAAGTCATTGTGATCAGGTTTGTACACATGTCTAATCTGAATTTTGTATCTTCAAAAGTAATATATAAGTAGATAAATTTAGATGTATGGATTTTCTCTCTCTAAAGTAATAGAAGGATTTAAATATATATTGAAATATATTAAATAGATATATTTAAATATATTTAAGGATTCTCTTCTTTGTATATTATACGTGCAGATTTGAGCACATAATTCAATTTTCAGTTGACCCAGCTTGGCATGGACTTCCGTTATCAATTAGACGGCCAACTTAGATCTCCGTTAGCCAAAACTATTAAAGACGCAGGTGAAAATTGTCTCGACACAGTAAAGCGTCACGTGGCGGAGGACAATTGGCGACCGACTAATTTGGAAACTAGTCAGAATCTTCAAAAACTATTAACCGAGCTCGAAGACCTCGGTATCGGTGTACCATCGTTACAAACGAACGACTGTTGGATACCATTGACGTACAATACGATAACCTTCTCCAAGCTCTACGTCAATCTGTTAGAAGACTGTCTTAGTATAGCAACACCCGAACTTATATCTACAATAGACGGCGTGCTTGTGTCCGTGATGCGGGTCGAAGTTCAACATTTGATCGTCTCGCTTACGGATCCGAAATTGAAGCAAGAGGTTGAATGTTATGGCTATATTATATTACGAATAGCTCTATCATGTTACGAATAAATTCTAACTTGATAAAATTTTAATTTTTTAGCGAAAATTAGTACAAAACAATGCAGCCTACGTGCGAGATGTCATTATCGTTCGGGGCCTAGAACTGTATAAATCCGCAACGAATCAGAAATTCACGAAGCTGCTCGCTTTGAAAGAACAGATTGTATTCGAGTCCCCATCGCCTACAAAGCCAAGGCCAGCTCCGAGAACTTCAGTCCATAAATACTCTACCACGGAATATATCTAAACTGAAATAGAGAACGTTGAACCGCTTTTAATTTATAGATGAAGAGAAATGTCGCAGTAACGAACGCTTACTCGCATGTGTATACACGCGTGCATGCACACACGAGATAATGTAATATATTGTACATAGAAGACCCAATTCTTTGAAGTAATAAATACGGATATAGCGATATAGAAGTACTTCGTTGCACTTCTAATGCGGGTAAATATTAATTATAATGCCATCGTAGAGAGAGAACTTATTAGTACCTCATAGAACTTGATTAACGGACAAGTAAGTATATCGCATCCACGGAAACCATGATCCACACATTTTATGATCAGATTGGAGGACTCGGGCGCGTTATTTAGTGCCGCATTATTGTCATATCCTCAGGCAGCCTAAGGGTACGTGCAACACTAAATAACGTGCTTGAGTTCCCCGATCTGATCATAAAATGTGCGGATTATGGTCGTTCTCTCCGTGACGCAATATAAGGGAAATTCAACAAATCACCGACTATCGCACGGTTTCTCTAACAATGCGTATAATGCAGTAATTTGTAATAATGTAACATATATATAATATATTGAATTATGTACACATTTAATTCGATATATGGATAGATAGATATATATGTATATGTATAATTTATATATGCCTATGATTATTTATATATAATAGCATTATTTTGTACTGTTGTCGCTGCAATTACTAGTTTCATTGTTCATTTCCAGTCTCCTTTTCTTGGCGCGTATATCGGCTAGAGTTTGTTCTATACTTCTTTGATCCTTCTTGTTTTCACTGGGAACTGCAGGAATTTAAAGTAACAATTCTATTATGAGCAAGAGTCATCTGACTTTATGGCAATAAGTTTCATAATGTTTACTGTAAACATGGCCTCTTCTTTTCAGCTGAACTTCTTGCATTGTTCTTTTCTCTTTTTTTTTCTAACGTGGAGAGAAAAAAAGGAAAAATATGAAACCTTGCAACCAATTCAGCTGAAAAACAGACCTATAAATATTATTATACAATCTCAAAAACAATGATAACGAATAACTTGTGTCTGCAGTAAAAGTTAAGTGACTTGTGTGTCTATTTATGTTATACTCACCACATCCATAACTACTATTGGCTTCCGTTTTTCGAGCTGCTTCCAATGCAGCCTCCTTGCCGATCAAGTGCTGATATTTATCCTTGTAGTAGCTGTTGGGCACGAAATTCTCCTTTCGTTTCCTAGACTTCGCATACTCGGAGTCCTCTCTAGCCTTCCTTTCTCTCTCCTCTTTCAGTCTTTTTGCAACTTCTTCATTCCACTCTTCACCTTTGCGCAGTGTGTTTAACTGATCCTCCGAAGGCGCGTGCTCCTTCTTGAAGATCATGATGTATCGATCAACGCCTTCCTCGCCGAAGGAATACGCCAGGATATTCGCCACTTCTGCTACATCATGACTGAAGCCAGGATAGAAAACGTTATATTGGCTGCTTATATTCCATTACTCACTGCCAGTATTGAAAATCTAAAGTATATGTAATGTAATCTCTTAGTGAGCTCTATAATATATTGGAACATACTTTACCTACTAATAGAAAATTGCATTCTAATGGAAAAAAGGATAGCAAATATAATAAATACTTGTCTTTCTGACTCTTCTACTTATGATAATAAAACAACATTAGCCAATCACCGAATCCCTGACAAACAGTACAATTTTTGCATTACAGTGTCATTGTCTGTGTTCAACAGATAAAGCAGTTTTATAACTGTTGTAAAATTCTTTAATATGATTGGTCTTGCTTTAATTTCTTACTGGATCTAAATGTATAAATTATAATATATTAAAAAATTTTACAACAAAGCTGCTTCCTCTACTGAATACAACTAATGTTTAGGAATTGAGACACTGCTACTCCTTGGTGACTCCAATATTTACAGAGCTTACAGCATAAACTATAGATTTTCAATACTTGCAGGAAATAATAAAATATAGCCATTATATTATTTACAGGGTGCTTTCCAGCAAAAGACACAAATGATAGAATGAATCATTATATCCTTGTTGTTTGCCAATGTTTGTTAAGAAAAGATGAAATAATCATTATTGTTATACCATTTCTTTCCAACAAGAATCATTCCATGAGTAAAACATTTTCAAAGTAATATGTAATATACTTACATAATACTTCTGTATATCTGATCCATGGCAGGAAATTTATATTCCTTTGCGTTGTCATCTTGTACGAACTTATTAATCTTCTCTTCAACCTACAAAGGTAATGCGTTAACTGATTAGTCAAAAGATAGAAAGATGCAACTATATCATTAATAATAAATTATATAATATATTTGTAATTATTGATAAATGACTACATCATTATCTTTACACAAAAGTAACACAACTAAAAAAATGATTTTTGAGTTGTTACCATGAATAAATTAAATATAAACATTAATTTGTATCAATCAACAAAAGTTAATTAATTTTTAACTTTATTCCACACATCTGTTGAATAGTATCTGTGTTGCTTTTCAGATTTTTTGAAAACATCATAATAGTTACTTTCTATTTATATCAAAGCTCAGAATTCTCATCATTCATATCATAACTCAGTTGAATTCACATTTTTTTTCATTCTGACAAGTAAGATTCAACTGAAATTTTACTTATAATCTACACAAGCTCGAGACCATGTATTTTACTGAGTAAGTCTTAACTCACATTAAAAGTGAGATAATAAACTGTGTTGTTACATGATAACTTTGCCATCGCGAAATAAGCAAGTAGCAACGTAATTAATTGAGTATAAAATACAAAACTTTAGACTCGGTATCACTTGTGTAAAAATGGAAAGCAACTAATATCTTCTACAAGAGTGACACATTTAAATTGTGTCGTTTATGTAAATAAAAAGAGCTTCTACAGAGAGTATTTATAGAGTTAAGACTGTTTTGCTTCACCTTCTGCCGGAAGAGCTTCAACTTTTCTGCCTCGGCCTTTTGACACTTCTGAAATTCCTCCCGCTGTTCTGCATAATCGAAATGAGTTAGCTAACGTAATTCTCAAACAATTTGCTTATTTTTTTCTTTTCTAAAGTGAGCATTCTTAGGTTGGGAGTCAACTAACTTTTCATAAGGGCCTTCTGCTTCTCGTTTACCGACGGTGGCTTGTCCATGGATTTTAGAATGGATCCTAATAAATCCATAATTTCGACGACTTATTTAGTTTAATGCCAAGCAAGGAAAAATCGTAGAAAATCGTCCCACGGAATACTCCAAAACGGTCGGCTGTGCTCGGCTGAACACAGAATTTGACAAAATGATACAGAAGAAGACAAAAGCAGTTATCTGCAGCTATCTCAGTTCTCTATAACTACACTTGACTGTACTACGTCATGCTAACTGCACTTGAATACTTGAAATGAGATAAATATATAATAATAGGCGTGGGAGAAAAAAAGAGGAGAATGGAAAATATATAAAAAGTAAAAAAAATGTACAAAAAGTTTAGCTGCAAAAAACAATTCCGAATTCTACATTTTTAGTATTGTCAACACATTTTCCGCATAAAAATATACTACTAGTGTACAAGTAAATTCGACAAATGGTGTCAATAATTAATATAATAGTGGTGGAGAAAATGTCATTAAAATTTCGGTGAAATTTTAATGACATTTTTTTGAAATGTTAATGGAATTTTTTATCGAATTTACTTATTGCACTAGTGACACTAGTAGTATATTTTTATGCGGGTATGAAACATAGTTTATCTGATATATAATATAAATATATACTTAATAATTTACATAATCTTAGATATTATATATAATTATATATTAATTATTTTAATTATTACTAATTATTTAATCATTAAGTTAAATATTATTTATTTATAATTATTATAACTACTTTAATTTTACATCTTAATTGTAGTTACATAATATTATACTATTATTATTATTACATTATTACATATCATTATTTTGGCGTATAATTTATAATTTATAATATAAAAAAGTAAAAAATTTCTTATTCAACAATTAATTATACATTCCTACGCTAATTCCGATAAAAAATCGCAGCCAAATGCGAACGTATATTTTCAACTACGTGCAAACTGGTGCAAACGAAGTAGACTTGTCCAGCAGCGTAAAACAGGTAAATTTGTCCAGCGCTCTCGCTCGTGATTGGCTCGCGGCCGACCGCCATGCGGCGCGACGATAGTTCTCGCGATATTTTTCGATTGCGGTACTTCCGGTCGAAGTACGGCGGTAGCAGCAGCAGCAGCACCACCAGCAGCACCATCATCATCAGCAGCAACGAAGCAGACCACGGGGGACGCACGCACGTACGCACGCGGAGTAGCGATCGTACGCGCGTGTACGCGGTGTGTGTGTACGCGAAAGAGTGCGCTGAAAAAATAACTATTTTTTTAAGATCCGTCCCGAGTCCGGTAACCTCCGGCGGATCATCGGATCAGGATCGGAACGCGCAGTGGTTCGTTGCGGCGTGTGCAACTCCTCGTGTCCCGATCTCTCTCTCACTCTCTCTCTCTCTCTCACACATTCTCTCACACACTTCTCTTTCTCTCCCACCCTCCCTCGCGAGAGAATCGTATTATCCGTTTAGCCTAGCGGGCCGGCAGTGTGTTGTGCGCCGAAACAACTGATTAATATGGCGAACAGCATAGCACCAGACTCGTGGGAACAGCAGGCGGACACGAACGGCGACATCGTCGGCCCGCCTACGTCGCAGGACAAGTCCATCGAGAGCAAGTTCTCCACCCTGAATGTCAACGCCGCGGAATTCGTGCCTTCTTTCTGCATCAACTCGTCGCCGCAGAGCAACGTCGCTGCGACCACGACGGCCGACAGCAGCCCCTGCAATGTTGCCGCCGCCACCGCCTCCTCCGCCGTGTCCGCCACCGCCTCCGCCGCCGTAATGAATACCATAACCACCACCTCCGTGCCCGTCGAGATACATCATGGTCAGTCGCTTCAGCTGATTTCTGGATTTTGTCCCGCGCTCTGCTTTTAACAGCACTGTCGCGTGTTGTCACACCACGCACGCGGCCCCCTTGTTGTCACTAACCCCCTTCGTCGTTACACCTTCCTGTCCTCCCTCCTGGATTCCCGCCTCCATGGGACGATTGAACGCGTGGCAGAAGGTTACGCGTACTTCGCGTATATCGTCCACGTTTCCACGAGGAGATCAATCCCATGGTGTCCTGGTTGTATCCGGACGTTGATCTTTTAGGTACCATATGGTCTCATTTATATATGAGAAGCTCCTCCATTCTGACCTTCGTGTCAGACTATGACTCTTCTTTTTATGTCGATGTTAATTGCTGAGTATGTTTAGCCGTTACATGATTATTGAAATTGGATATGTGGGATCTTGTGATCAAACTGTAATATGAGAAACAAGACGCAGCGGAAGGAATTGTCGTTGCATACTTTATTGCTGCTGGATTTCGTTACAATTGTTTCTGCTTAATGACGTTTCATTGCTTCGTATCTGAGTGTCGTGCCATATTCGATATGCTTTGTTTGAATATTCAGAGTTTTTTCATCAATATTGGGATTTTTGGTGCTTGTAACACAGAAAATTTGTCATTTTTTATGTTTGATCTACGTTTGTGTCTGTTTTTTAACACAATTAGTAGAATATTTTGCTAAAGTTGGACAAATATTTTAAGAACATACTGTGTACAATGTTGGTGATAAATGTACATCAAACTGATAGCTTCCTTTTTAACCTTTGTAACAAAAAGAGATTGCGACTCGGCTTGAACTTTTATATCACATATTTGCAATATATTTTTTATAATTCAGAAAGATTCGGAAATATTTTTACTTTTATCTATAGATTATATATATCATAAATATTTGATATAAAAAAGGGTAAAATTAACTAAGTAATTAGTAAATTATATTTTCATAATAAATTAGAATAAATTATACAAGAATTAATGTTTAAACTGAGATAAAGTAGGTTCCATGTGATTGATATGCGCATATCATTATCTAATCAAATTCCTTTTTAATCTGTTATCTTTATCAAGAAATCCCTCTTAGAGGTTTCTCAGACATTATCTTTTTATTATTTTAGAAGTATTCTACAGATTAAGTTTGAATTGTGTTTTTTTTTTTATAGGAAATTCTACTCCCGTTGTTCTGGCAGATCCAATTGGCAGTCGAGTTGAGGAACCTCCTGCTGGGGGAGGGGCTCCACCGCCGAACGTCAATGACCAATTAAATACCAGCCCAGAACATCAACCTGCAGATTCCTGGGAAGAAGCAGCAGTTGATGGAGATCCTCTACTTACTCCAGAAAACGAAGAAGTAAGTATAAATTTAACTGAAAATGTGAAAAATTATTATAAATATGTTCTTTAGCAGCGATATTCTTATCATACAGTGCCCTAAATAAGCTACATCGACTTTTGGTGGATTTTTTAAGCATTTACTCTATTATTATATTTAATATTATTTCTAGGCTGATAACGACGAGGACGAAGAACTGGTTGTTAAAGTACCTAAAAAGAAACCTGTCAAAGTTGCAGAAGACACTAAAAGCAAAAAGGAACATGTTAACGTTGTTTTCATAGGTCATGTGGGTAAGTAGTAAATTTATGTAAAATATAACTGGAATACAGAGTAGAAAAAACTTCACGGAAGAATTATTGATAATTTCTTAATAAAATTATCATTGTTAGAGAGAGATATTATATCTGGTGTTTTGCAGACGCTGGGAAATCAACTATTGGAGGTCAAATCATGGCGCTTACGGGGATGGTGGACAAACGTACCTTAGAGAAATACGAGCGGGAGGCGAAAGAAAGAAGTCGAGAAACATGGTACTTAAGTTGGGCTCTGGACACAAATCAAGAAGAGAGAGAAAAGGGCAAAACTGTGGAAGTAGGCAGAGCCTACTTTGAAACAGAACGAAAGCACTTTACAATATTAGACGCACCCGGCCATAAAAGCTTTGTACCGAATATGATTGGTGGCGCGGCGCAAGCCGATTTAGCAGTCCTTGTTATTTCCGCGAGGAAAGGCGAATTTGAGACGGGCTTTGACAGAGGGGGTCAAACGAGAGAGCACGCTATGCTAGCTAAAACTGCAGGTGTCAAGCATTTGGTTGTATTAGTAAATAAGATGGACGATCCTACTGTTGAGTGGGACGAGGGTCGATACAATGAATGCAGGTATACATCGAATGCAAGATTTAGAAATAGAATATATAGTGATTCTGTCTAATATATGTTTAGAAAGATTTCATTTAAAAACTAATTGGAAAGAATTATTAGAAGGAAACAAATTATTAAGATCGGTTTTGTTCCTTTAAATATATTTTTATTTATTTTGATAATAAAATTGTGCGTTTCTCTACTCACATGAATAGAAAAACGTTAATATATCTTTCAGGGATAAGATACTGCCATATCTCCGTAAACTAGGATTCAATCCTGCGAAAGATCTTACGTTCATGCCAGTTTCTGGTCAGCTCGGTATCGGCTTAAAGGATCCAATACCCGAACATCTCTGTAATTGGTACAGTGGCCCACCGTTCATACCTTTCATCGATTCGCTACCCTCGCTTAATCGTAAAAGCAATGGACCTTTTATTATGCCGATCGTCGACAAATATAAGGATATGGGGACAGTAGTTATGGGCAAGGTTGAAGCGGGAGAAGCTAAAAAGGGACAGTCGTTGCTCGTCATGCCAAATAGGGTATGTATATATTTTTTTAAATAAAAATATTTTCCTATTTTCGGTCAAAACGGATCTTAGTGCTTAATAATACTAAATGTAAATTTTTACAAATATATTATTTTTCAATTTTATAACCTGCGTGCTGATAAGATTTGTCAGACTTAAAATGCAATCGCAAACTAAAGCTAAAATTAATATCTCAAATTAGATTGATTATTCATTTTAATTAAGGTAATTATTAGCTTCACTATTAACTTAGTTCTATTATAATATAAAGAGATTAATCTAATTCGAGAAATTAATTAAAGCTTCAATTTGCGATTGCGTTTCAAATCCGACAAATCTTATCGATGCGCAGTTTATAAGATATGTTTGCAAAAATTTGCATTTAGTATTAAGCACTAAGATTCACTTTGACCGAAAATAGGATTATTTCTACTAACTGATTTATTATCGATCTAATTTTGATTTATAATTATATATTTTTTGTTTCTGAAATTAATTTATATTTATCTAATTATATATATTTTTTGTTTCTGGAATTAACTTATATTAATTTATATTATTCTAAATCTAAATTATATTTTACATTAGCATAAAATGTTGATTTCTGTTAAATTTCCTTCTAAAATTTCTAAAATTTCTTAAGAAA